AATTTCTCTAAGAACTAAAGTTTCTATTAAAAAAAAAATCATGGCAGAAGAAAAGAGATATAATTTAGCTGCCATGTATATTGGCCAATACAACTTTATAAATACTTTCTCCCTTGCCAATTTTGTTTCCATGTAATGACTATGATATCATCAAGAATAATTTCGTAATTCTTCAGAAGGCAAGTAAGTAGTCTTGTCTGGTTTAAAATCTATACTGGTGCAATGATATTTATTTTTACAATAATAAACACCATCTCAGAAATTTAAAAACATGATTCATTAAATGATAAATCTGTAATAATCACATGTAGATCATTACACAGAGTTTAGGAAAATCAGGAGAATACTAAATAAATATTTGAAAATGCAAACATGCTAGTTAAAAATGTATTTCTTGGTTTTAGGTAAGTTACTTTATATATCTTATGTATTTATGTCTAAACAAAGAATCTACTACAAGATTCAACATCATAAAAATAATTCAGTACTTTAGGTAATGTTATCACAGTTTAAATAGTAAATTTGAAGATTTCGGTTTTAAATACTGTTGGAGCTTGCAATTGCAATTTTTTTCTTTATAAAACATAAAAATCTTACTTAAATACATACTCATATACACAGTAATATAAAATTTAGAAACCCATTGAAATTTTGGAGTCCAATAATTGCAAAAAAATCTGTTTGCTATTCTACAGGTAAACACGGACTAGAATATGAGAGAGTTGAGAGATATTATGAAGTCAACAGATCAAAGCTATTAGGTAGATAAGTAGAAAATTGCATATTTTAAGAATGATTAAAATCTCAGCCATTATAATGTCACTGAATATTAATGAAAACGATGACAAAAAGGAATACTTTATTTTCCGCTATGCTATATATACAGAGTGGAGGAACAAGATATGATATAAGGAATAAGACTACAGTTCTTAAATCCGCCAACATCAAATGTTTTTGGAGATTAAAAACCTATTAACTACTTATACATAAAAACCAAATCAATATTGTTACAGAATCTCAGTGTATGATCCACAGATACATATTTTTTCAATAAAAATATTATCAAAGGAAGATATATAGGATATTTATGCCAATATTGTAAAGACATGAAACTTCATTCAGAAATACTGACCATTCTCGTCTTGAACTCGTCTATACTCTTAGCTTCTGTGACAGTATTTTTCTCATAGTTTTTGTCCTTTCCTCGGGGTCGTTCCTTCTTGGACTCCTTCATGGGTTCAGGACTCATCCTGCTTCCTCTTCCCCCCAAATATCCCTTCTTTTATACTTCTAATATCCATTAATAGCACTATGATCACCCACCAAGTGATACAAACCAGAAATATGGAAATCATCTTAGAATTCTCTCCTTTGTCCCCTATCTAATGAGTCATTAAATCAAATGATTGACTGCTAATTTTGCTCTTTAAAATTTTCCCTGAAACTATCACCCTCTCTCTATCTTTATTACAACTGACTTAATTCAGGTCCATTCAGGCTCTTATCTCCTATCTGAATTATTGTATTACACTGCTAATTCATCCTAAAATACTCTTTACCAGATGCTGACTGAATTTAATTCTTTATTGCAGCCCTGCTAGAATATAAGCTCTAAGAGAAGGATCTCTTGTCTTGCTTTCTTTAGGATAGTACCTGGCATATGGTAGAAGTTCAAAAACGACTTGTTAGATAAACAAATGGCAGCCTAAAAGTTCTAAAAAGTATATATTATGCAAATCTGACTATGTAAATCCTCTACTGATACCCTTTAAAACTTCCTATAACCTATAAATTAATATGATCTACAGGACTCTCCATGATTTGGTCTCTACTCATCTATCAGCCTCATCTCTGGCCACATTCAGTCCAGCATTTTATGGTAAAATCATACCTAAATGCCTATCATTCCTGTACATATAATGCCTCCATGTCTTTGTTCATTATAGTTTTTTTAAGTTTTCTATTTGGAATACCATTCAAACTGTCCTTTACCTCGTTAGTAATTACTCTTTTTTCAGGTCTTAAATCAGGTATCATCACCTCCAGCTATTCACTCCTAGACTTCCAGGTTGGATCAGATGGCCTTCCTCTGGGCACCTAGTATATTTTCTATGCAATTCTAGTTTTACCACTGATATATGAACTTGAAGCAATCTGTTTAAGTATCTATCTTTTGCTAGATTATAAGCAACTCAGCTTATAAGTGATTTCTTATTCATCTTTGTTTTCCATGTGTGTGGCACATAGTAAGTGCTCAATATTTGTCAAAAAACTCCTGAATGAATAAAATTAATTATTTAGTTTAATATCACACATATTCTCTAACTTATAGTCTTATTAATGTCTGTTTTAGGTTCTTAATTTTTTTAAGTTTATAGTTTATAAGTTTTAAAGAGAAAAGTGCAATAAAGTTCTAACTGCCAGAGAAATATAAAAAACAATTTCAAAAGGTCCACATTTATGGTATTAACACAACAGAGTTAATTATGTATAAATATTAGCAATTTAAAATATCATTTAAATAAGACCTTTATGTTCATAAATTTCTATTTTTATATTAAAATGAAAAATAACATTTTGACATACGAAATGAAAAATTCCTATAACAATAATCACATTAAATATAGTGAGTTACAACCAAGTTATAAGAAATACCATCAAATAACTATTTCAACATGATATTATTATATATGCAAGGCGCAAATTCCAGTATTACTGTTATAGTTTGTAAAATCAAGATCAGCCGGGTCCAGGAATTAATGTATCTTTAAATATTTTTTTGTTGCACATTTAAGTCTTGACTTTTGTGTACAAGAACCTTAGTTTTCAAACATAAACGAGATTTAATCCACTTGCCTATAATTTATTTGCTGTAAAGGAAACACCATATTACATGGTTTTGTTTGTTCAGTAGAAGATATGCTATTATTTCCAAGATACCAGGGATTTAATGTTTAATTATCAACACCCATTTGAAAAAAGACATTGCTTTGACTCACAAATTTCTTAATTGCTAATAGTGGTTTTTCTGAGTAGGAGTGTTGTATCTAATTTATTTTTGCAGATGTGGTTTAGCAACTGAATTTTAAATTAGCAAAGCTTTGAATATCTTCACTGTCAGCAGAAAATTCTTCCATCCCTGCTGTTGGAGAATATCATTGCTTGAAGTTTTAACAAAGAAGTAGAACTGTAGTGAGAAAACTGATACTACTGGTAAATGCTGCTTACAAACTGAAAAAGAAGTTAGGTTGTCAGCAATAAAAACAGTATTCACACAAAATATGAGGTGCCATCTTCATCACCATACCTTGCGGGGAATGAAAATTAATCGGGCTGGTTCCAACTTGAGGAACCTAAAGAGAAGCAAATAACTCACAGATCAGAGCGCGGTTATGAAGGACGAGCAGCTGGCAGTCAGGGGACCCACAGCTGAGCCCCTCCCTGAGGAGGAAAGATACTGAACACATTTCAAGAACAGCGGCCAAGGTTAACTTTAAAGCAGGTTCATTCATCACTGGAAAACAAAGTCACTTAAAAAGTTTTCAGAAAAGTTGACTTAAAGTGCCCCTTTCTCTCTGGAACATGCCATTATCCACATATTACTGTAACAAAATGAGTGAGAGAAAAGAATACGTATTTTAATCATGACTCAAATACGAAGTCAAAGGTAGCATAAAAATGCCTACCTGTCTGGCTGAGCTGAGAAGCGCTGCGACTTTTCCGGGAGAGACCAACAATAGCTACCATTTTGGCCCCAATGCTGGAGCGCCGCTTTTTGCCGCTGGTGCCCAAGGCGCCCACTGCAGTGTCCGACTGGCTGCCGTCGTTCTTCTCCAGCGAGCACATGTCCCCGCTGATGCTGGTGCTCTTAGTCATGTTCTTCCCTGAGACGCCCATTTGTCTGCTCTGCATTTTGGACGTAAAGACACTGTAGGCCGATGGGTCGTTAAAAGTGAAGACAAGAGTAAAAAGGGAAAGACAGAAAAGGTATTTTAGATGAAACATCTGGAACATAATTAAGTTATGTCATTTATTTATGGAACATATTTTTAGGATTAAAAAATTTCGAATACCATGGTCTTGAATGGGCCTTATTATTCAAGGCCAACCGTAACTCAACTATAGAAAAACAGACTTATGATTTTATTTCTGCTGTCGAAGAAGACAGTAGTTTGTATGGTCACAGGAAAAAAATGTTCACAAGGAAAAGGTTTCCAAAAGCATTTTTCTCCAATTTGCTTTACTATTGCTTTTAAAAAGAAATTAGTCCAGTGGTAAATTTTTACAAAAAATGGCAAACCATTATAGCATCCATTGCTAAAAGTGACCTTTTAAAATAAGTTTTTTTATTTTATGAAAAACCTAATAAGATTATCTAATAGCAGTTAAATTTTCTCACAGGGATTGATGTTTTCATTAGCTTTGAATTAAAAATGATTTATTTCACTTTATATAATTTCATATTTATTGATGTAGTCTATATTCCAAAAATAAAGAAAAAAAGATTTTCCTCTTGCATTTATTTGACAAAAAAATCATCAGTTTTCTACACAATATGGTCAGAAAGTAATCAATGAGTAAAGGAAGCATGTGGGCTGATGGATGAGCTACTGCTAGACTAACACTGTGAATGGTAGTAATCAGAAAAAGGACTTTGGTTTCTTCTGATTACTGGGGTGTGGTAGGAGGTATGTCAGGGGGTGAAGAATCTGGAGGCAGCTGGCCTCATAAACCTGGAAAAATGTGAAGGAAGCAGCCTGCTTTGCAGAAACAGGAAGACTTATTTACATATTGCCGATTTTTGACTCAGTATTGGAAAGTCATAGTTTCTCCTTTAATTTGCTTCTGATAATCTGCTAAAAGGCTAGGACCACTTGTTAATTTCATGAATATATGTACATTTTCTCCAAGTATTTAAAAGGGGAAAGGCTAAATGTGATATTTTAAAAAATATACACTAAAGTGTACTATTTTATCCTTCACATTAGTTTCAAGGAGAAATGAGGCATAAATAGGCTGAGAGGGAGGGTGGAAGGGAGATAAAAGAAAGAACAAGGTATATGTTTGTACAAACCCTAAATTAATCATATTTAAGCTTGATTGATCTTGCTATTCTTCAATAAGCAACAATAGAATAAAAGTGTCTTGGAGACAAGTGTCTTGAATCCCAGCTTTGTGGCTACTTAACTGACTTCCTTCAGAAGAGTTAATTGCGCTACTCTGAGCCTCAGTTTCCTCATTTAGAAAATCAGAATATTTTATTTTACCTTTTTATTTTTAAAAATAGAGATAATATGTCTAAAGTAAAAGTTCAATACATGAAAATTATAATAATTATTATTAGGGAATATGGAAAATAAGCCCCTTCAACATGTATTATAACTACTTAACAGCACCAATAGAAATATTTGTAATTATAAATTTAAATTTGAAATTTTTGAAATTAAAATGTCGAATAGTTTTCACATAGCCATTGTTATATAATGGAGAGTCGACTGCATTGAGTCAGGAATTCTGGGTTCGCTCTTTGGCTTTATTGACTGATCTTGAGAGAGTTATTTCCCTTTCTAGAACTTAGTTTCCTCATTTAATAAGTGAGAAAACATAAGTAAAGCACCAAGCGGAATGCAAGACACATGAGAGCTCCACAAATTATTCTCTTCATTTTACCCATTATCACCAACCACCATCATGCATCATCATCATCTCTTTAGCATCCATTAAACATCTTGAACTGGAATATCTATATAAGGTCTCCCCTTTAACTATTAAATGCTTTGCTCTTCTAGATATCTCTTGTTCCATGGATTCTGAGCAAATCGACACAGAAATACAACCACCTAGGATTTCAGTCTGCTGTCATTAAAGAAGGCATGGCACAGTATAGAAAAGTCAAAGTTTGATCGAGACTAAGGCTCCGAAAATAACATATGCCTGCAGTCACAGTAACTTAGTGCTCCTGTTATATAGAAATTTTTATTCCAAACATATAGCTTCTACAACCAAAAACCCACTCAATCTATTACCTACCAAGGAAGTCAAAGATATACTCACAAAAATTGCTTATTGTACTATATGATCTTTGTATTTTAATTTTCATGATTGGATACAAAAGGCAAAAAAAAAAAATCTTGGCCTAAATCAAGCAGGACACAGTAAAATACTAACTGGAACTGATAAATTAGTATGTAGATAAATATTTTAATTACCATTAGGTTTTAAAGAAATATACTTCTCTTCAATTTAACAGCATTATCTACAAAAGGGTTATTAAAAGTTTTATAAGATGGGTTTACTTTTCATGTCCTTAAAACTTAGAGATCACCAGAGATGTTTACAAATAGTTGCCCTGAGGCTGCTGTATTTTGAGGGGAGGGAGACCCAGGTGAGGGTGTCACTACTGGTTTTCTTTCCTTTCCTCACTGGACAGTCACCTAAAACTACAGGCAATTAATGTTGTGAGTAAATAAGCTATCAACCATAATTTCTGAAGTTTTGGGACTCTTAATTTATGGAACACTTAGTAATGACTCTGTAAACATGGGTGATCATTTGGAATGGTTAAGGAAGCAAAGACCCATTACATTATTAATTACTTTAAAAGAAAAAAATCTGTAAGTCTAGTAATACGGTAAGTCTCCAATATTGCTGGTGGCAGTCTCAGTGATAAATTTCTAAAGGACAATTTGACAATATGTTTTAAAAGCTTTAAAAAATGCCTACTTTTTAATGTATCAATTCTACTTTCAGGATTTATCCTAAGAGAAAACTTAGCAAGATTTAGTACAGATTCAGCAGAAATGATATTTATTGAAGAATTGATTGTAATAGCAAAACACATACACACACACAAGGAAAACCCCATAAGTATCTAACAGTAGAGGGTGTTTAAGTAAGTTATGTTCATCAATAGAATAGAATGTACCTTTGAAAATGCTGTTGTAAATAAATATTTATTGACATAAAATATGTTCTTGATATGGGGGAAGGGTGACAGGAAGCAGATCTTTGCGGCTTAGGTTTGGCTGGCACACATACCAAATACGGATTTACCCTAATCCTGGGGACACAAATTCAAATGCTAGAGGCTATCCAGCGGCACACACACATAAAAATAAAACAAACAAACCAAAAAAACCCACACCAAACAACAACAGCAACAACAACAACAACCAAAAGAAAATAATATAAAAAGAAACATCTCTTGTTCAAGTAAGTAGTTCAGGGAATCTGGGTTTATGAGATAATCTACTAGTCACCCATGTAATTGAAGAATAAAGAGAACATAAAGAAAAGTAAACTTAAATGTTCAGAAGTTTATATTCTTAGCGGGAAAATTATAAATCCACATAGCAAAAGATCTGGAAGGATATACTGTGAACAGTGTGCTAAAAATAGTTTTAATTTTTTCTGGATGGTAATTATGCTTTAAAAAATGTTCTTTTTTTTTTCTATTTTGTTTTTTCCAAAATGAACATAAAAGGAATTGGCAATAAGAAAAAAATAAAGCAGACAAATGAAAAGAGTAATCAAGGACCAACATTCCTTTTACCTTTGCATAGGTCAAGCTATTCAATATATTCCCCATGTTAAAGGTATAGCATGACTTTCACGCTAATTCTGAGTTTACTGAATAATAATATTGGGTGTTGACATAAGATGCTCAGCTCCAGAAAGAGACAGTGTTTCTATAGTGTTTCTACATTTATAAATATTATTTTACACATATTTTCTAATTTTGGCTTTAGACAAATACTGAAAAACTGTATCTTTGGTATTCTCAAAGTAAAATTGCCAATGCAAGTTATCTATCTTATGACATAATTATAGTTGTTGAAAGTTGCATCCTGAAAGATTTTTAAAAAGGCGAATCTAGTATTGTCAACCATTAGGAGAAAGGTAATGAAAGGTAAGTGAAATATTTTCAAATATTCCCCTAAAGTCTTAAATAGCTTATCAGGGATTAAAAGAGTATGTGATTACATGAAGGCTACAGGCCATAGGGCCAAAAGCATTAATCAGTGAATGAACAGAGTTAAGTGACTGGCTGTTAAGATAAATAGCAAACACATGACAAAGACAAATTCTGAGTTTGTGAGAGTATTGGCATAAAAGCAGCACTGTAAATAAAATATATAGTCATGTCAAAATGATATTTCATCTTATTGAGAGTTGGGAACATGTTTAGAAGAGAACTTACCCAAGGAATTAGAGATTGAGATGATTCAAAAATTTTGTGGATAGAGATACAAAAGGCCTAGCAGCTAACACAATGGAGCATGAGAACGGCAGCACAGGAACAGAAAAGACACATGGATAGCAAGTAGGCAGAGATAATTCTAGGAGTGGAAGTACTGAAACATCTTGGGCTCGGAAGTGGTGCTAGGGAAGGCTTGCAGAGCTCAAAAGTTAGAAGACAATAGTGATAATGGTAAAGTAGGAAAAAACCCAGCGAGGCTGACCAAGCTCCCAAACATTATGGCATCTTGAAAGGCTTAAATTCCTTTTCCCTCCCTCTGCTGTCTTCCTGGAGGTAGGTACCAAGAGTTATCTATCACCAAGATAACTTGCTTGTGCCAGTTGCCAGTCATTGGGCTGATGTCAGGGTTTTTAAAATGCCATTTCTGGCATAGTCCTTGCTCTGTGTGTGTGTGTGTGTGTGTGTGTAACAAACCCTGGTTTTGTCTAAAACTCTAATTAAGAAATTTCTGTATATTAAATACTCCTCCTTTCCTAAAATGTGGAGCTTGAAATTATTATTACCCTAATTTATGATTTAATAAGCTTTGTTTCACTTACTGAAATGACCATCTATAATTTTAGGCTAGTAAAGTAGTAATCATTTATTCAACCAAAGTTTATTGAACGTCTATCTCTACAAATATGGGATACAAAAATGATATGACATAGTCTCTTTTAATTTACTGG